AAACCCCAATGAAAAGGGATAAGGAAACAAACAACCCCCGCCAGTAAACAACCCAACACACCCCCCCCCCCCCCCCCCCCCCCCATAAAAAAAAGAAAACAAAAGATGGGGGGGGGTAAAAACACCAAGAAAAAAAAAAAAGTTATAAAAAAAAAAAAAAAAAAAAAAAAAAAAAAAAAAAGGAGGGCAGAGACTACGGATTTCCATTCGGCATGATACTGACACGCCTCTCTTGGCTTTATAATATCTTTATTAATATATTCATTTTATAGAATAATATATTAGTTATAGCTGTATTATATAATCCTTAAAAATGTATTAACTATGTGACAATTATTCAAAAGAGCATAATGTAATTCATCAAATTTTGGAATATAATGGTTAGAAAAACCTTAAACAATTAATTTAAAAAAAAAACAAAAGCATAGCATCGTTCGCAATTTCAGTACGCGGTTTAGTACCTCAAAGTAATCGTCGATATGTGAGCAGTTTGACCTACATAGGTTATATATCTGGAAAAGAACGCTAAATATCTTTGACAGAACGGCGTTTATGTGACATTCAAAACAAACAACTCAAAGATAAGTTGGATATATGTATATCAAAGTCGGGTATTTACAAACTTGTTTATGACGTATGCAACATTGTTTACGTGGGTCAGACTTGTCGCAACTTCGATACACGTTATAAAGAGCATTCAGCCGCATACTGGAATCGCAATTCGACATTGAACAACTTAGCCAATGACCCTTAAAGTCTTGATACATGTTATAAAGAGTTACGACTGTGTGCTGGAACAGTTAGAGATATAAAAAACATCATATTGCTACCAGTCTCGACTCCACAGAGTCAGTAATTCATTCTTGGGGTAATATACGTTATTAAAACAAAGTCCCAGAAAATATACAAGATCTTTACCAAGTTTAAATGTTTTATTAAAAAAAACTGTATAAAAAGGGTTATTATGATATAAATGAATACATGGTTGATAATAACCCCTGGGAATGAGGTGGTCGCTTCCAAGCTGTTTCTAAAATAAATTTCGTAAATATTTTGTGACCCTTCACATTGTTAAATTTATTTCTAAAAAAGTCCCTCTGGGTTTCTTGCTGGTTCTTCCCAAAAATTAGTTTTTTTTCGAAACAGTAGTAACGTAAAATATTGACTTTCAATAATAATAACTTGTAATCTATATTGAATAAGAAATTATTCTATTCTATTCTAAAAAATGTAGTAGCACAACTGAATTAACACACAAATGTTTCTAAATAAGCAATAAGGGTGTGTACCAGCACAATATCGATTTCATGGGTAAGTTCCCGTAATAGTTACTATTAGTACTACTACAGCACATAACAAGTCCACTGCTCAACAAAATCCACCGCCATAATCTATAGCCACCTTTACAAGTCGACAGATGCTACAGCAGACGTCATCTGCGTCTGCCGACGTGTAGACGGAGAAATTTTCTCGTCTGTGATAAGTATTTAACGTCGGCAGATGCGCCTGCCGCCAATCCGTTTGTTGTCGGTTTTTGTGGCACGCGACAAAGGATTTCTGCGCGAGCGCACTATGTCTGTCCACACGTCTGGCGACGCATCAACGCTGTCTGAGTTGCGAATTCCATTTATTTTTAATAACTCTACTGCGATTCACACACAAGTAGTGTTAAAAGCATTAAATAAATAAATAATTGCAGCAGCTACAGTCTCAACATTCATTTTTAAAATGCTGCGTGCGTGGAAGTTGCGTGTGTCGAGCAATTAACACGGACTGAACGATCTGCAGACGTGTGAACGACTCGTGCTATTTCATCTTCTGTTTCATCTGTCGACGTCTGCTGACGTATCTGACGACGTGTAAAAGGCATATAGGTATAACAGAGCCACAAAGTACGGTCCTACGCCATTACGTCTAATAATCATTGTAGCCCACCAAAAGTCCTACGCCTACCCCAGATTGCACTATAAGGGGGTGTTGCCGTACTTTTTATGCTTAGCAGGCAGGTTGTCATAGGCAGGTTTTTTTAATTATTATTATTACTAAGTGACAGAGCCACGTTGCAACTATATTACGGTTGTAGCACAAATGGGTCAGCTCGACCGAGGTAGGACCACGCTCTCACGGAATACTGGTGTGAACAGCAGCTTAATGCTGCTGTGTATGTGAACCGGATACCTTTTTTACTGGAAATAAGGTAGTACCTATAAGTCCTCAGGGGTGACAACGCATCTGCATTTTGATTCTTAATTGAGTATAAATGTAGATGTCTATGGGCCACAGCATCCACTTACCATCAGGTGGACTGTGTGCTCGTTTGTCTCCCTTATTCTATAAAAAAATTATTATAAGATGTTTCAGACTGCCTCTGTCATTTTTTACGACACCTACGGTATAATACTACTCCAAACCATTTTCTTACATCCTCAATACACGGCATAATCATTGCGTAAATATGGTTGAAGTCACATTAACTTTTCCAAACAAATACAAAGAGAAAATGACAACTATTAATAAACAAGGCTATTTTACACTGCCCTTGTTGTATTCATCTATACATGTGAAAAAATTCAACATTTTGTCCGTAAAAATTAATAAGGAAAATTATGGTTAAGATTTAGGATGTTTATCTTGGAGTAGTCTAATTCCCATCATAAGACACGAACTAAAACCTTAACCTTTAAAAATATGTAGCTAACTATTCTAACTCAAAAAGTGTTAAGTACCACATCAATACTGGTCGATAAAACATTGTTCAATCATCGATCGACGTCAATCGATGTGGTTGTGGGCTCATCATCAGTAACTTTCAAAATGTATTCAGAAGAGGACGTGTTATTGTTGGCTAGTACGCTCTTGCTCGTATTATTATAACGGAGAATGCGAACGCAGAAGACTCTGGATGCAACCTTCGAAACTTGTTTTAAAAGTTTAAAGCTAAGATACCTTACTTACCTACATTACGGTGGAGCGGGGCAGGTTCTCGAATAATCAAGCAGCTCGATCGACGTCGACTAATCCATTCCACATTCGATCGTTGGCGTCGAACGACGAACGATCGATTGGTGTGGTAACACCTTAAACGCTCTTAACATTTCACTGTGATACTGACTGTGACTGTGGGTCTAAACTCTAAACTCAAATATAGACATAATGAAGTTCGCGATTGTATCTGACTACTAGCCTTAGTATTCAACCGTCAATTTCAAATAAGATTATAATGTAAAAAATCAATTAAGAAAAAGGACAACATAATTTTGGAGATAAGTACATCTTCCTTGAAAATATTAGGACTCAACTAACCGCCCTATTTCTTCCGTCGAGATTATTGCAAGCAATCTTTCATCAGAAAATCTGTTGAGCGGCTCAAGCTGTACAATTCAGCCACTGCGAAGGAGCATCCATGCGTACTGTTGGGTTTTTCCCACATGTAATAAGCGATGCGGACAACTGTATGTTAGTTGATGAGTGATAAAACAAATTCCATAGACTAAAACTCTAAATAATAGTAGTAGTATCACGTAGGTAATAAACAAAAACAAAATAGTTATCTAACCTCTGGTAATACTTAACTTAGCGACCTTCAAGAAAAGAGCTTACTACTTTCTAAAAATCAGGAAATGTAACAGCAATTCCTCTGTTGTTGCAGTTGTTTGTTCATGGGTGGTGTGAGTCACTTACTATCAGGTAAGCTACATGCTCGTTTGCCCCCTCTTCTATAGAAAAAAAAACAAACAATCAAAAATATGTGCAACAAATAACTGATTCTATCAACTAATGATATTTTATGAATGCAAAGCAAAGACTTTTATGTAAAGTACTATGCCTGCAATTCAGAACCAGAACTGTATCACAGCTGTGGTTTACGCCCTCGTATTTTCATTTACGACAGTTACTGTGTTTACCCAAATAAGACATAAGGTTACATACCTGAAATAAAGTCAAATCACGTTGACAAAGTACGCTCGTAGATAACGGCAACGTTTTTTTTACTCACATTAAACAAAATCGGTGTTAGATTAGTTAGATTAGTCAAAAACAACATTCGTGATTTCCAAAACAGAGAATTTCTTCTCGCCAGCTCGCAGTAGACTAAATGAGTTACGGACAATTGACCGTAGCTTAGTGTCCAATGTATTAAGTGAATCCCTACTTTTTTCTTCTTTCCCCAAAGCGGGGCAGACTACAGTATTCATCTCTGATGATAAAGAAAAAGAATATATTACATTTAGAATGTTTCATGAGAATGAAAATAAAAATTCACCTTATAACAAGTGGTAAATTTAATGTTTTGTACAACTGACTTCAATATAAATAAAATGAGAACATTAACAATATCAATTAGCCCAAAGTCCGAAATCAATTAAATACATTAATGAGGATAATTTAAAAACTACTGGTGAGATTTTATTTATATGAGACCACATGAGAAGCACTAGCAATAATCACGAAATACACAAAAGTTTTTAGGTAACACACATTAAAAAATACGGTCGTATTTAGAATCTCCACATATTTTTGAAGTCAGTTAAAAAATGAAGATCTCTCAATCCTCAAATCCTGTTGCAAGTAATTATGTCATGCAAACAAATAGCTTGATTCGAAGCAGCAAGACTAGGTTTAAAAGATTGCACTTACAATTTACTTACACTTACAATTTGTAGTACCTAGTTTAGCTCTAACATAAAATGTATGTTTTAATGTCATAAATTAATGTTTATTATTGAGGTTAATAACACACTATTTTAAAAATCATATATAAATAGTGTATTATATTATTAGCATAAGTGTCGCTTCTAATCATAACCTAATTTCACATTCTTTGATATGTATGACGTAAGTCGCTTGTTTTTCATTATTATTTTTATATAAGTAACGATTGATCTATGTATGATCATAGCATAATATAATGACTGAGAAGCTTAAATAAAATAATATACACCAAGCCTTCAAGCCAGCGCGCTGAATTTAAAGAAACAAAAAGCATTAATTAAGCAAAGATGGCGTGGTTATACAGTTGTGCAATTTGGATTCCACTGGTGAGTTTATTATACACGATGTAATTATTTCGAAGTTTGTAATTTTGAATCTTACTCGAGTTCGCTTCTTGTTATAAAGTTAAGTACTCCAACATTTGAACACCGCTTTAATTGTTAGTTGAGGATGATTTTCTCTCTTTTTATATTAAAACTCATTAAAGTTTAATTAATTAATCAGGTAATATACTCGTTTATTACTTAAAATAAACAAAGAATCACATGTAGTAACTTGGAATAAATGCAATAATAAAACATTTTAACTATTCAATGATTTATAACGTAAGACATAATTCGTCATCAATACTAAAAGAGCAAATGAATATAGCTAGCATGGGTATAAAAACAAAAATATCAAAAACCTGTGGCCAGCCACGGAAGTTATTTGCCAGCATATAACATGTTTTATTAACAAACAAGTTATTTTTACTCTTATTTAAAATAAATAATAAAATCGATTATAGATAAGTATAAACTGTTTAATTTGAAACAGAATGGCTAAAATAGGTTTTCTAATAACTAGTATGATTATTTTACGGGTTATACCCGAAGAAATTGTAAATCCTCGCAGTGATTTTTGGGAAAAGTTAAAATATTAAAGAAAATAAATAGGACTTCCGTAAAACTTTCAAAACAAAAGCTCGTAACAAAATTATTAATTAGCAAAAGTAAGTTAAACAATGGCTAGGAAAGTGGTTATACAGCGGCCCTTGGCCACTTCACAGCAGTTTTTCTCGTAAATATTAATAAGCAATAATTAGAGCAAGATAAAAATATTAAAATAGAATACGTTCAAGATGGCTTTGAAAAGACATTGAATGTAATATGTAGCCAAAATAGACACTATAAGACATGCTTAAAGTTTCTCTATCTCTTTCACTGAATGTCAATAGATAGAGAGAGGTATAGAGATAATACTTAAGTTATGTAAGCGATAATTAACGATTATAAGGAAGGCCGTACGCAGTTAAAATACAATTCCATTGTTTAGAAAATCTCATCTTATGGATGTGCTTCTGGTAGTGGCGTAAAGAAAAAGCTACCAGACAACCTGATAGAGAGATAAAATGAATCAGTAAAATATACCGTACTCAAACTTAGAACTTGTAATCATCGTCTTTACCATAAATATAATGCGTTGGTATGTACTACTAGCGCCTAAACCATTTTTGCTGAATCGTATCTAACAATCACATTGAACATATAAAAAACAAATTGTCGCACATGTCGGAAAGATAAATTATTGTTGAACTTATAATTCATTTTTTAAAATCGATTAATTGCCATTTTAACATTAGAAAGTGGTTTTAGTGGTTTATGGTATAGACTTATCAAGTCCCCATGGAGGGGTAAACATGATACATGGTACACATGAGGGGGGAACATGAACTTTTGAAAATATCAATTTTTCAACTCAATCTATTTATTAATCACTTCATTTATCATGTGGGAAGCCATGGAATGTAAATGGCTGTATAATTTTGTTTTGTTTAATTATAATAATTTATATTTCGGCTAAGAAACTTCGAAATTTTCGATGTAGCCTTGTAATAATATATTTTACTAAATACAGATACACATTGACTCACTCCGGTCTTGGCCGCCGTCGTGAGTGGGTTACTGTATCGTTTGTTTACAGCAGGTCGTGATGAAAAATATCGATCGTTGTAGAAATACAAAATATTCCAAAAACTAAATTTGATACATACAAGGTAAAATTTTATTATTATTTTTATAATCACAGATTTTCATTACAATATATTGTTTCGCTAAAAGTACGTAGGATTTATATATAAATTACTTATACGTCTTGGACTTTATGGAGTGACCTGAAGGTGTAGTTGGGTATCTGATACTGGAACTCCTCGAAAAGTAGAACTAGGTATGTATGCCGAGTTTGGCTTCGTTTTGTTAGTTAGAGAGATCTTACCTCCGGACTTGATTGAGTGACCTGAAGATGTACTTTGGTAAATGCTAAATCAAAATACTGATTATGACTAGATGAAATTTTTTGAAAATGAAATAAAGTTGATGAGGAAAAAAATATTAACGAGTCAGTTAAAAATACTAGTTTTTACGATAATGGCTGAGTACAAATACCTAAAATTTTATGTTGATTTCTGATCGTTTAAGATAATTTTGTTAAAAGTCTTTTCAATTAACAATAATAATTTCTTTTTAGAATCACAATAATCGTTACATAGTAAAATAAAAAGAAATATTTTCTATGGTTAAGAATTTTTTCTACATTTTTTCACGATCATATGAGCATTGTCACACAGTCGTGCACTTTTGAATTTTGCAAAGGTTTTTCTTATTGACGTTTGACATAATTAAATAATAAATAATAACATAAATAAAAACATTATCGGAAAATTAGAAGTAACAGTAATTAGGTTATTTGTAAAAACTTGCAAAATTAACGTATAACATGAGTGCATAAGGCATGCACATTTGGATTTACCAAAAGCCTTTTTTATTCAATACAGCATTTCATAAGTTCACTGTAGAACATGGGTCTCCCCCATAGATAGCCTCTTAAAGGGAATATTTGGCATGGTTGCTACGCTTGGTAGGTAGGATAGTAACCGATACAAGACCACGCTTTCACAGAATACCAGCGTGAAATAGCAGCGTAATGCCGCTGTGTTTAGTATGGTGAGTGTAAAGAACAGGAGAACCGTTTTACTGGAATTGAGGCATTCCATCTTAGCCGTAAGGGATCACAACGCATTTGCATTTTGATCCTTAGTTGAGGACAAATGTAGATGAGTATGGGCCACAGCACCCACTTACCATCGGGTGGACTGTGAGCTTGTTTGTCACTCAATGCTATAAAGAAACACACATCAAGATTACAATCACGTTATCCAAAGTCGAGCTTAATCGGTGAGTTGTGTTGCCGAAGTTGAGTCCACTATTATGTTCCCGAATTGATTGATTCTTCGGTAATAAAAGGAGTGTAGAACGCCTGCAATAAACAATATGATAAAAGAGAAAAGGCTTTATCCAAAGGCTTATTGTGAGAGTTTGGCAGGCCTTTTTTATAGAATAAAGGTGACAAACGAGCACCTGATGGCAAGTGGATGTTGTGGGCCATATACTGCAGATGCTTTTCCAGCCCTGAAGACTCAGATGGAATGCCTTGTTTCCAGTAAAAAGGGTCTCCAGTTCTCTACACTTACAATACGCAACACAGCAGCATTAAGCTAAAAAATTAAAGCATTTTGCTATCTGTTGATATGGTTGCTGCTAACTGTTATTCTCTACTATGGCAATGATGGTGGTGAAGCCAGCACTCAAACAAACCAGATTTGTGAATTGTTTACTGTTATAACTGTACTAATGGTTGTAGCATGAATGAGTCACCTCAACCGGAAATGGAGCACGCTCTCACAGAATACTAGATTGAAATAGCAGCTTGATTCTGCTGTGTTTTCTATGGTGAGTGTAGAACAAGTGGAGGTGATGTGGGCGCCAATAGCAGATTTTTCACGGTTTATAGGTGCGCAGAAAAGCAATTTTTTGTCAATGGTTGTCAGTTTTTATTTATTATGAAAGTTAAAGTTTTTTTTTTTCTAAGAGCCGTGGTAGCTCAGTGGTTAACGCTCGCTGTAAATATAACAGAACGCGAGTAACCCGGGTTCGATCCCCGCCGGCACCAATGAAATTGTTAATTGCAATTTTAAGTGCTGATTTACCAGGTGCTCGGCGGTGAAGGAAAACATCGTGAGGAAACCTGCATGTCTGAGGAATAAGAAAAAAAAATATTTCGAAGACATGTGAAGTTCGTCAACACGCATTTGGGCAGCGCGGCGGACACTTCCTTGCTCTAAAACCCTCTCAGAAATGAGGGGAGGCCTGAGCCCAGCAGTGGGACGTATATAGGCTGTAACTTTACTTTACTTTACTTTTAAAGTTTTTTCTTAGTGAATTATGTTGGCCAAAACACGATTGACGTATTTTGGCTCCATAGAAAAAGATCGCAGTTACCTCAAAATCTACAATTTCAGGTACGTCCACTAAGTGAAAAAACAGTATCATTCTCGAATGTAATGAGATCAATTTCAATTAAATTCAGGCTGTGTGTTCACCAGTAAATATATGAGTGAATTATGGCTTTATTTTTTAATAAAAGAGTACATATAATTTTAATAAGAAATATCAAATAAATATCGCGCGATTAAATAGCGCGCGGGCCGACCAAACAGTCCATATAAAGTGTGAAAAATCTTCTTTTGGCGCCCACTTCACCTTAAACGAGGCATTCCGGTTTAGTGTTCAGGGGTGACAACACATCTGCATTTTAACTTTCAATTGAGGATAAATGTGTATGTCTATGCGCCACAGTGTGTGTTGTGTTCATTTGTTACTGATTTTGTATAAAAAATCCCGCGTGCAGAGGTTATTATATTATAAAGCTGCTCAATCGATCAAAACTACTTGCTCTGGACCACAGAGTATATTATCTCATGACTCAGCTTATCAAGTTACTGCGTTGGCGCCGCTTTTAACTCTAAATCACCCAAAGGTCACATAAAGGGCTTATTAATATCTACAGTATTTTGCGTATCGGATGATAAACGTCGAGAGGTTATTATAATGAGCGTACTTTGATGTGACTCAGAGAAATAAGAGTGTGCTAATTTTATTTTTAATTATAACAATTAGTCTCTCGAAAATCGACTGCGCCTTCCCCGCATATCTCGAAGCAAGCGAAATCGGGCTGTCATGATGGCTCTAAACCCAATGCTGATGAATTATCTGGAAGCCAGCCGGGATCCTTGCGAAACAGATTTAATTCGTTTAGGTGCCAAGTTCCCCCGGCTGGACGTGCTGCTAGACAAAGTAGCGCCATTCCAGCCTTGAGAAAATAAATTTTATATAGTTTTGACCGTATCGCTAATGCAAGGGCCCTCATCGGCAGACTGACAAGCTTCAGTTCATGAAATAGCGGGCCAAGACTTGTAGGCACCGTCGAGATTGCGTTTTCTGTGAGAAATGTTAGTTTGTCTCAGCCGGATATTATGCAAAAACTGACGGAGCGTATATACAACCTGACGCAGAGAATCGCTGCTTGGAGGATGCACCGATTTGCAACCGTTATAAAAAATAAGAAGCGAATGTTTGGAGGATGCACCGAGAGATGAAATTCAACATGGTTCAGAATCCCAGAATCAACCAGATTCGTTCTTTCAGAGTGATCAGAAGAGGCTCTACTAGTAATTGGAGCAACCAATGGTACGTACCGGGTCCAGCGACAAATCAAGCTGACACTGTTGCATTCTGGTGCGGCCTGCGGTCAGAAACTGTAAATCACAGCTAGGAAACTTGCATGGAAGTTGCGAATGTTACGCCCATGAACACCGTCATCATAACGCCGGACTACTTATCCGAGGCAGTCCGCAAGTCCCTGAACTGGAAAAGTCCTGAACTAGACGGGCTGCATCACTACTGACTGAATGCCTTCGTGGTGTGTCACGCTGAGCTCGACAGTTTCAAGAGGCTCTCGACAATAAGTCGCTCCCGAGCCTCTTCACGACTGGGATCACTCATTTTGTTCCTAAAGACAAAGAGAAAATACCGCTCCATTCCATGTCTACCTTATACACGACACTAATATCCATTATGAGCGCGATAATCACTCATCACCTGGGCTCAAATCAGGTGATGTCGCGCGCTCAAAGTGCATGTCGGGGTGGTGGTCGTGGAAAGTGATCGTAAGTGGTGTAGCTATCGAAAATTTTAAGGAGAATAAAAATGAACAGAAATGGTCATCATCTTTTCATCATCACAGCCTCAAAAGTCAAACTCAAAAGCTGAACATACGCCTTCTCCATAAACCGTCTCATAGGAGGGATATTTACCATAATTGCCACGCTGGGCTGGTAGGTTGGCAACCGCAATGTTTGCTATTATTAAGTGTTGTTTAGGAAGATGCTGCTGCCATCTCGAGTTTCAGTTTTCCGCCGTCAAAACTAACGACACTTACGAGATGACGTAGTGGAATCGCTTACGCTACCACTGTACAGAAAATTACAGTGGAAGTTATAAAAGTATACCTATTATAAACATTTAGAATGAAATTATTCATTCTAAATGTTTATAATTATATAAATTCTAAAAACGTCATAAATAAATTGAGTTCCTCAACGTTTATTCTTTCAGATATTTCTAACGTCGCACAAAAGTGAGGCACGGCAAATAGGTCAGCACCCGCATAGAAGAGCGAGGGCCGCTGAGGGAAATATACCGGTAAATAATGGTAAGTATTATGGTTTTAAAAGGGATAACTTTATCGATAACGTAGCTAAATATCACACAAATATTCGGCAAAAACATCTTATTGCCAGTGCCCTAAATGGAAAATCGCACTGCCTTGGCATAACAAAGACTTACTTGAAAATTGAAAACACCCAGATTTTGATCAGACGGAATAACAGACGCCAGCAAATTATTCTACTCCTATGCTGTAACGTATTACAAAAAACGATTGATACCATTTCGTTCGAATGAAGCGTGAATAAGGAGAAAGGTGTAGAACTGTCGACCGCCTGGATGTCAGAAGGGGAAGAATTGCTACGCACGCTTTCTGAAATAGATCTTATAAAATATCGAAAAGATTGCACTCAATGAAATTGAGTTCATCAATAAGCCACGTCTCTCCGCTAAGTCCAGCTTCTAGGTAGCAGTTTACATTACCAGCCCATATGTGATAGCGGTACTCCGTGAACGACCTGACTTGCGGCTTTATTAAGAGGTTCTGAAAAGGCACCAACATAATGGACCGCCACACCCTTGCAAAAACATCTATTTTCCTTGTGACTGCTTATCAAGGAAATCTCAACCCCTAACATCACCATGCGGTCAGTGTACGCCAAAGATATATTGCGGAAAATGGTAGCCAGTGTGAGTCGGATCCTTTTAGCGGTAAAGAGAGAAGCTTATGTATTGGACAAGTTTAATTTCACAAGTTTAACATCGCCCTATTCGGAGACTGCCTGTAGTGTTTAACGCTGCTGTGTTTCGTATGGTGAGTTTAGAGAACCGGAGACTAAAGCTACACAGAAACCATGTATAACGGAAATGTTCTCCTTAAAATTATATAAAAAATATTCCACGACAGCGTATGTCTATCTTTTATGGTTGACTCACAACAACACGTGTAACTCCCGATGGCTTAGCAGTTCGGAGCTTTCTGATTATATTTCTCTACTCTTACGTTTATAACACTCTCACTCATCCCTAATTAAAAAAAGTTAACATTATTATCTATTCAACAAAAAAGAAACACCAAATTTATAAGTACATGAAATACGCTAAATAAGCCATCGCGCGTGAATACTGAATCATGCTATAAGGATTATTTTTGTGTAACGGTCATCGCGCTCGACGCGGCTCGCGGCGGGAGGTATTAAAAGGCGGGGGTTCTGAGTGCGAGCTTTTGCGCCCTCCTTTCTGCCAAGGAAGGCCGCGTCCGTATACGGCTTAGAGATCTCTCGTCAGATCGGTAAGCCAATCCATAAAGGTGGGGTTTAGTGGGTAAAAGTCTCCGCATAACCACGCAGCCGACTGCGCGGTATGTTATGACTATGAGCATTCCCTCCCTCTGGATGGATGGAGGGTTGCCCATATTTGCTTCGGGAGCAAAAAAAAGTGCGAGCTTCATACAATATTTGGCTGTTGATGTGAATAGACGTTCAGAGTGTTCGATCTTATTGACAGACAATAATTGATTTTAACAAACCGTGCTTATCAGCGCGACTCTTAGTCTACTCTTACGTTTAATAATTTATTTTTAGATTTCTTTGGTTGTTATTTTATAAAATAGGTATTAGTTATTTTGGTAGTGTTTAAATATTTCTTAGTATTAGCTTAATTATAAATTAAACTTTTGTTTTTATTTAGCTGTAGTTTTAAATAGGTACCTGGGTATCAGATAGGTTATTTCATTCTATTAGACGTAGTTTAGGTACCTACTTATATATTTTTAAGAATTCAATTTTGGATTTAAGGATTCATTTAGGATCCGTTTTATTATTTAAGTAGGCATTTAGATTTTTTTAAGTGTATGGTAGCTATAGTTAGGACGCCTCTAACGTAGATTATTTTATTAGGTAACTGAATGCCGTCGATTAAAAATAAAAAGGTTTACGGTGACGTAACAATTATATTAAATAGGGACAATTCTTGGCTATGCGCAAAGATCCATTTTAACTCCTCGCAATGACCAGGCATCTGAGATTAATAACAAAATACTGTCGAATATACAGGGGGGAAAGCAAAGTTTATAGTTCAATAAATAGAATGGTCGATTAACAAGAAGCCACTAATTACCCGATAGAATTTTTAAATCCTTTAAATATGCCCGGACTTCCTTCTCATGAAATTTGTTTAAAAATTGGCATTCCGAAATGCTCCGAAATTTAAGACCACCACAACTTTGCAATGGAACTCAGCTAAAAGTAACCCAGTTGCAACAAAATACAGTCGAGGCTCAAATTTTAACAGGTTGCGGTGCGGGAGATACCGTCTTTATTCCCAGAATTCCCATAATACCAAATAATTTTCCATTCCAATTTAAAAGAACGCAAATCCCAGTATCAGTGTGTTATTGCAATGACAATTAATAAGGCTCAAGGGCAGACTTTTCGTGTTGCTGGAGTAGATCTCGGTGTCAGTTGTTTCTCGCATGGTCAGTTGTACGTCGCTCTTTCCCGAGTTAGCAGTTCTAGAAATCTTTATGTTCACGTGCCTGACGGGTCAACTTTCAACATAGTTTACCCGGAAGCTCTGCGCTGAAGTATTTTTGTTCTATAAGTACTTAGGCCTCATGTGAACGTGATCTAAACAAAATTACCAATATATTAACCTAATAACACACAAGCAGTTACACTCCATCCAAAGCCCAGCGACACTATAACATATATAGGTTGAAAAGTTGTTTAGTCTGATGGGCATTTCCTGTTGACTTACAAAAATGAAAGATCTAGAACGTCTCCAATCGTCTCGCGAATCACGTTGTTTTCTAAACCGTTAAAACAATCCTCTAAGAAGAATTCAACATCAGACGTTTCAGATCTTCGATTTTGACGACCCCGTTGTCGCTGGCATAAGCAACAGGATCCGCGTACGAAGTCGCGGGCAGAAGCAAGTTCCTTAATATTATAATAACCATTTTTATATAAACCTAGTTTAATAAAGTTTTTCTACTTTTACTTACTTTTCTAGGGTTTTGTTCTAAAAGCGTATACATCGAATTAACTGATAAAGATATTAACTGTGCTTTCGTCTGTACGTATACCGATAGATACCAGAAATAAGCAGATAATGCATTAATATGCAGCAAAAAGAGAGCTACTAGGACCAAATCATTTTTTTGTTATTTAAAAAAGGTTAGGCCTTTGAGAATTACCTGTAACGTGCGTTTAACATTGTAGCAGAAGTTTTTGGGCAATGTAATAAACCTTTCCTTTCACAAGCCAACCATCGCGTACATTTAAGAAAGTTTATTTGAAATAATTTTTTTTATTTTATTTAATAAGGCTTACCAACTAAATACATATAGAAGCAATTATTATGAGGTGCACTTAAAAAAATTGTATATATGCATTTAAATTAAAGGTAAACACAACATATAATAAAGGATTTCCTTTAAGGAGAACAGTAACCTATAAAACTATCACTATAATAAAATTAGAGTAATCATTAAATTATGCTTGCAATATCCATAAGTGAAAAGAAGATTAGCAAGTATACAACGAGGGAAGAAAAAGTATAAATAATGGGTATGTTCCGAAATACAACGCAGTGTACTGTCCAATGCAAATGACGTCATCATTTGACACTTTATTGTACTAGTGTGCCGCCGCCATATTGTGTCGGATATCCGGCCATAATAAAACAATTTTTAATTGTGTGTTTGCCGAATGAATCATGCTAGAATTTGTGTCTATTTATTCAAATACAAAAAATTATAGAATAATTGATGGTATATCCATTAGGAGGATATAATGATTTTTGGAGCACAAAATGACAAAATAATCTCCAACACTTTTCCAAATGGCGCAAAAGTATGACGTCATATACTGTCCAATGTTTTGGAACGAATCACCAGTATAGCGTCGATTCATGATGTCATTAGCATTGGACAGTACACTGCGTTGTATTTCGGAACATACCCTATATCACCATAAGATCTCAGTATTTTTCGGCTGCACATTTGATTTGCCAACTAGGCCTACCATTTTTTTGATATCAAATTTAGTATTTTCGAGGCTAAATACCTGTAAAAATATAACAGGAACAGAAAAAAATACATTCTAACATATAGTTTGTTTCGAATTAATATTTTATTTAAAATGCAATTAAAATATATATTTTTTGCGCTTTTCGGTGTCATATTCAATCTATATTAAAATACAGTAGTTTCGCCTTCTTATAAAATAGTAGCATAGCCTCCCTAATATAATTATAGTAGGATACTTTATTATAAAGTAAGCTTGCCACCTTGTTGCCAACGTTATTTAAATCATTATGACAGAATAGCTAGAAGAAATTACGAGTTATGGGTATCTCTCAAAGAATAAGTCTTAAGATGAAATAAGCAAGACGAAGATCACCTCTAACGTCCATGTCACAATAAAATGGAATAGCCTAAATCCATTAGGTACTTAAATATAAATAGTGTACTAACGGAAGAATTCAGCCGGCAAAACCGATTCTGGAAATGTGCCATCGTCCGGAACATCTTAATACCATCATGATCTTTACTGCCCGTCCATCACAATACCACTGCTACAACATAGCCTCCCCTAACACTAACATAGCTTAACGAACCTGAAGGGGTTATCAAGGCCGTCGCCAGAAGGTGTAATTAGGCTCTCTATAAATCTCCACAAACACCACGTGAATATCAGAGTCAGTCAGATCACAACAATAAACCAACAAGGCAATCGTAGCCTAGTGTAGTATAGTATATATCTATACACTATTTTTAATCGTAAGAGTGATTTTACCAATTGAAATCGTTAAAGATTGCAATTTGTGTAACTAACGATCTTTACAACAACGCCATCTTCCGGGTTCAATTGTGAATTGATCCAGGGACCCATTCAAACTCACACAAAAAATCTCATCAAAATCAGTCGAGCCATTTTAGAGTTTTAGCAAGACTAAAGCCCGCCACATACATGCCGAAATCCGTTTCGGGATTCCGAACGCAGCAAATCCATATGAAATCAATGGCCCGTCACACACCTACGGTAGTTTTCCGTACGGAAATTTGCGTACAAAACGGGATTCCGTATGTGTGTCGCCGATCCATTCGTTCCGTTTTAGAATTCCAAAACGGAATTCCGAATGTAGTGTGTGGCAGCAATTGATTTTTATTTATAGAGATAGAGTTAGGTCGCCCACATACATACGGAACTCCGTTTCGAGATTCCGTTTCGGAATTCCGATTCGAGATTCCGAACGCAGCAAGTCCATATAAAATCAATGACCCGTCACAGACCTACGGTATTTTACCGTTCGAAATTTTGCAGACAAAACGAGATTCCGTGTGTGTGTGGCCCACCCGTTCGTTCAATTTCGGAATTTTGAAACGGAATCCCGAAACCGAATTCCGTTCCGAAATATCTATGTGGCAGGCCTAAGAGCTACACTTGGTAAATAATGCCACAGAAAGGTGCCCACTAAAGCTCGCCAATTACATGCGGACTTCCGTTTCGGGATTCCGAACGCTATAAGTCCATATAAAATCAATGGCCCGTCACACACCTACGGTAGTTTTCCGTACGGAATTTTGCGAGCAAAACGGGATTCCGTATGTGTGTGGCCGACCCGTTCGTTCCATTTCGGGATTCCGAAACGGAAATCCGTATGTAGTGTGTGCCAGGCAGAAAACGTCGACTTTTTCGCTCACGGGGTAGGCATTTTACACAATAATATTACCTTTATGTTTCTACAAAAATTAATTTATTTTTAGAATTAAAATCAAGGCAGCAAGGCCCCTTCGTGCCACAAATCCCGAAAGACTGCGAAGAAATTGGCATTTGCGACCATGTTCCTAATTATCCGACGGAATACGTGGGCAAATTGTTAAAACAGGTGAGTGAGTGTGTCATTGAAACAGAAAATATACCCACTTCATTTGCGTTACGACCCGACTGCGCACGGTAATTGTGTATATCAGCCTAAATATGTATGTATGTATGTTTGTTCTTTTGTGACGCTCTAGAGACCATACGCGTGGGTCAATTTTTATGATTCTTACTTCAATAGATTTGTCTTAATATTGTGTCATTAAAAACATGACAGTAATCAAAATTCAATATGGAGACAACCAGATACCATATTGTTTAAAATAAGAGAAATGAAAGGCGATGAACTATGCTTATATTTTCAAAACTTATAATAAATAACAATATAGCTGTAATAAAATTCTTAATCGTATAAGGGATATATTACTCATTTTTTTTACGCAGTCGGGTTTTTTTTAAAGAGTACCTTGCCTTGTTTGTTTTAAGGATTTGTTATGAATTTATGAAAAAAATCTCATTCTAATTTCAATGTCCTAAGAATTTTAGCAATTTTGCTCATAACCTACTTGAGAGACAAAAAAAAACATTACCTTTCCTGAACAATGACAGCTAATAATTCGTTCACAAGATGTCGCTAGTTGGTACTGAGGTGAAGGTTTTTGTTACACAATGTCAAATTATTGAGAAGTTGTGTATTATTTTTATTTTATTTTTTTATAGAAGAGGGGGCTAACGAGCATGCGACTCACCTGATGTTAAGTGACTACCGCCGTCCATGAACAACCGCAACACCAGAGGAATTGCAGGTGCGTTGCTGGTCCTTTAGAAAGGAGTAAGCTCTTTTCTTGAAGGGAAAAATCTCCGGTGGTAAAAAATTCCACAGAGAAGTTGTACGAGGAAGAAAACTCCAAGTAAAACGCATATTGGTGGACCGCCAAGCATCCAGATGAGGATGGTATCGTGAATTTTGACGCTATGTGCGTTCGTGAAATTTGGCGGCTGGAAATAATCCGAACAATTCCTCAGAACACTCCCCGTGGATCTAGAGAGTTCTATAAATTCACAAAACAATGCGTCAGTGGTTTGCTTCTTAATATTTTCTACTTTTAGGAATATCCGTAGTTTGGTTTATTCATTTCTAGTCGAGTTAATATAAAGTACAACTAATATTACAGACAGAAACATTAAATCTTACATTTTCGTTACAAATTAACTTCCCCGCCATGTAACAATGTTCAACTCAATCGTAAGTGGCGCCGCCCTGGTGGCAAAAAACTCGTGGATATACTCACTAATTTTTTTTGAATTTTTATTTTAATTTTTCCCATATCGTGGTGGCATTTGTTTTTATTTAATAATTTCACATGGATAACCATCGAGGCCAGGTACAATTATTTGTTGGCTTCACTAACAACCGAAGCGCCGGAGCTATGCTTTCAGTGAGCTACTGAGCCGACCAGTTTAAAACAGAACAACCGTTGGGTTGGGATCGGCAATGATTTTTACGTGGTGGTATGTATGCTGCAGGAATAAGTGGAATAGTCGTTAAGGAATGCCCTAGTCCCGTCTAGGGCATTCCTTAACGACTCCAATCCAGTCTGTTGACCAAGCCAAATGAAAAATACCCTTAACCGAATAGCATGTACGCTTAGATATATGGATGTGGAAGTAGCAAGAAAGGGTTGTTAGTAACTACGGGTATTGTAGGCAATGAATTTGCCCACAAGCTTGCACGGGAGGGCTCAAAGAGTACACAATTTAGACCCGAGTTCATTTTGTGGCATCTCAAGAAGCCTAGCCCGATTGACCCTTGAAACTGTTTATCACAATAAATCACTTAAGATCTGGTCTGACATACCAGGCTTAAAACATTCTAAAACCTTAATCCGGGCTTTTGGTCGTAAATTCGCTTCAGAAGCCCTGGAATTAAATAAAAATAAATTGCGCATTTTGGCAAGAGCCCTAACTGGACACTGTTGTCTTAAAAAGCACATGTCCATCCTTGGACTAAGCAACTCAAGGATGTGTCGGTTCTGTTCCATAACGGAAGAAACGCCTCTACATATCCTGATTGCGGACCCTTAATGGGCAGACGTAGGGGAGACTGGGGCTGGTAGTGACAGGGGTAGGTAGTTACAGCGGAAACGGTGGCTAAACTGAGAACGCTGTATTGTCGTGAGAAAGATACAAATGATCACGCGACCATCACGCGCCAGCACGCCGCGCGAACCTGTGGCGCCAGAGCTTTTGTGAGAGGAGCCCGTACATGTTGCCGTCAAAACAGCATGTTAGTAACATTTTCGTTTTTTCGTAATATTGGTCTAAAACCTCTTTTCCTTTAAAGCAGATATGTGTGCTAATCCTTTCTTATTGCAACGAATTTACGTTTATACAGTTATACTTATTTGTGTTTTTACTACTTAACCTTAAAAGGTCAGTTTTGGCGTTGGGGCTAAAAGTGACATTTGCTCGTGGCAGGTTGTTACTTGTTACTACCTACCCCGTAGTGCTGCTTGCCGACTGATATATTTTGACTTATTTATTTTTTGCTAACGTAATTTTATTTTTTATTTTTTTGTTCATCTTCAATTTATACTAAGCTTTTGTTTAATAAAGAAATTTATAATTTTCTGCCGGTTGGAAGTTACCTAAGTTTTATTTTTATAAGGCGTAAGTCTAAAAAATAAGATTATAATTTTGTTCAACGAAGTTACTATGTTGTTATTTTAATGAGGCAAAAGCCTGTTATATAGAAAATATAGTTTGACATTGTACATAATATTTGTTATAGACTGTCATTATTCTAAATAAAAAGTGTTATATTACATTAGGTTTTAGTTGTAACATTTTGCCCCTTATAGTGTAATAACACTCATTTGCGAAACTATGTATTCCGCCCAGAAGAAGTGAAATTGCTGACGGCTAATCAACTCCTTCTAATTATTGGAAACGTAGGGCTTAGCAGTAAACTATAGCCATAGCAGCGATCACAATAGATCTTTTAGATCGCAGTGATACTGGTCTCCTTCCCTAGACCTACATAGCTGCTCGCACATAATAAAAAGGGTTTTAAGGACCGTGCAAGAAAGAAACCTATAGTCTCTGGCCTTTGTGTGGGGTCAAGAAGCAGCGACAAAGGTAACCTTTAGTACTGCGTTGCACCTGCCAGCAAGAAAGCAGTAAACATGACAAATTGGACGATAGGAAAACCATATGTTCAGCTTCCTATATAGTCTATGCATGGACAGATAAGTAATAGGCGAATGAAAAACCTGCATTAGTTTAATTATCTGCAGTGATTTTACAACCCATCGTAGTTATAAATGTAGTAAAGTAGTAGTAAGTAGTAATAGCGACCTTACGTTTCAGAATCCGGAAATCATTAGCAATTTCAACGTGGACGTGTTAGAACCTGATGATGCTCGAAGAAAACGCACTGCAAAAGCAACTATGAAAATAAACGGAAAAGGTATAAAAGAAAAGAATAATAAAATATCGTAATACACACAATGGGATATAAATATTAAACAAAACTTTCTACATCTGCTTGAGTTGCATAAACTTATAAGAGAAAATTATAAATAAAAAAAAATACAAAAATAAATAAAACCCAATCAGATAGAAGTCCTCGGCAGGGGAGACCAAACGTCGAGGGTTTAAGGGAAAGGGAAAACCGGCGGTTCATACGAGCGGTATCGAGGAGCCCCGCCCTCTGCATTTGAACCCGTAACAGCATTGGAGTCCTCTTCGCCTCAGATGACCCGAGAGACTGACCGGGATTAGACCGTTCGCAGAAACTACTACACACCCACTACATGCCATTCCACATGTCGGTCACCTCATAAGCCAGGTCATAGAAAAACAGAATAGTAGGCTACTTCTCAGAAATGTACCGAACGCCGCTAATGTGTGTGCGTGCCTGGCACGTTACAGTACGGACTCTTACACACGAGCCACAGAACGCACACAACGACACTTACCAAGTCGGGAAGATCGGGCCGAGTCGAGAACGCCCACCGCCGCGCTCCGCAATCACCTTTGTTTGAGACTTTGTTGACTTTTAATATAATAATTTTGCTAGCAGTTTTTTTTCGTTTTATGTTCTCTTTTTATAAAATAAATTAATATACCTATGCATTTGTTTAAGTAAATTAGTTTTTATTAATAGGTTATATTACTATATCTTTTAATATAATACCTATAGAAGACACATACCTCATAAGAACATTAATTATCATACCACTTCATATAAAATTAATTTTAAACATTAAATCTGAGCTGACAGCATAATATGCTCACTGCTCAGTGTTAATTTACTCGTATTTTAATGTAAAGCTGGAATTTTTTTTGACAAACGTTGATTCTTTGAGATGAAACTAAAGAAATGATTAACAAAATATGATGCATAGGTACTTATCCGTATGTATTATGTTTGTAAATATTAAAACTAATTATAAAACTAAATGACACTTAGCTGTAAAACAAAAAGACAGTGACAACCCTGCAACAGTAGGCATTTACTCTCGCGCGGCGCGGGAGAATCCTACTATTCTGTTTTTTCTATGGCCAGGTCCAGATAATTATGCATAATATTATTATTACTATAATGACGTAGCCATAACGGATAATTGCGATTTAAAACTAACAAATCGCATTTGCAAGACGAAAATTTAATTTATATTTTATTAATAAAATTTCAATAACTCTAAAAACTTTTACATATATATTGTTATTGAAAATAAAACTACTTTAGTAGGGCAAATCCACGACATTACTTACATTTTATTGCCGCAGACACCATCAATAATTTAAAATTCTCTCTTGGTGAAAAAATTAAATTGATTTGCTTTTTCTATTCTTTTTACAATTTACACACAACACAACATAACAACCATACACACACACATATATATATATATATATATATATATATATATATATATACCCGTCAGGGGACTAAAATAATCCTAGGATTAACAACTACCTTGTGGTAGTATATATCCATCCAGTGTAGTTAGTAGCAGTTTTTCTAGCATTTCCCATTGCTGCGTTTACGACACCTACAGGAAAAATGGGGTAATAAATTTACGTCGTGAATTTACGAATATCCTTCTGAGTCTTCAAATAATACTAACTACTCAATATTTATTGTGTTTCCGGGATATTGACAATAATACCCAAAGATACAGGTAAAAGTAGTTGCTTAATTTTACCAGACCTTTCACTAAAAAATAACTTTCCATAAAAATAAAAGCAAAGAGCTAAAACATATAACTTATTATTAAAATCATTTTTTATCATATCTTGATCGAAAGTTCGTATTTCGACCCCACTTTTACGGACGAAAGTTCCACATTGCCTCCCGATTCAATAACTCATTAATTTAGCAAGCAAGCATACTCTATTGTTTTTAAACATCAAAAGCATATGTCATAATACATTTTAAGGTACATTTATTTCGATTAACGTATGATAAAATATAGTATAAGTACAACGGGAGGAAATTATGACATCGCAACTCGCATTATTATCACCCTCGCTTTCGACTCGGGTGACAATACCACGCGTGTTGCAATGTCATACTTTCCTCCCTAGTGGCGTAATATACTAATTATTATTTTTAAACATTTTTTAATCTATTGAGTGGGCTAAAAATCATTCTGCGTGTCGTAAAAAGCGACAGTGGGAAAGTAGGGGGCAGCAACATCTCCCTATGAGCAGTCCATAGGGATGGGCTATGTTCCGCTGTGGATATTTGATATATGTATAGAAATATATATATATATAAATATATAAATATTATATATATATATATATATATATATATATATATATATATATATATATATAAGCTGAACGAAGTTATTATTATAAGATATCTTTAAACTTTCTTTTATTTATAGGACAAACGTCAAGTCATCAAGGTTCATTCGTGCCAGAGATCCCGAAAGATTGCGAACAAATAGGCATTTGTGATCACGTTCCTAATTATCCAAGAGTACACGTGAATCAGTTGATAAAAAAGGTCAGAGCTTATTACTGTGACAATGACTTCGCGTGACATGTTTGCTTGCATGGTTTGAAAAAATTTCCAAGCTTATAACATTATAGCAATAGTTTCTTACTTTATGTTCAATTACCTCAGCTTTTACAATACAGACTGGATGTATGATGTGTTTGTGTGTGCGTAGTTATATCCAATGCCACGTAAGGCACATAAACCAGTTGGTTCTTGCGCCTGATATCTCTCCGTTTGTGTTAGATTGTCAGCCCATCGGACTATGAGAGTGAAGGAAAAGAGAGTAGTGTTTGCACATTTATCCCGTCTCGCGTAAAAAGCTAGTGTCTGTTGAGATTGACCGCTATAACCGAAATTCAGTTGTGAGGGTTATTATTACTAATTGTGATGTTACCTAACCGCTTCACTGGGTGTTAAATAAATAAAAAAATCTAATAATAGCGGCGTAAGAGATACCATCATATCTTTCCGTGATTGTCTTTAGAGGCGTCTAGGGAAAATCCCAGAAGGATCTCAAGGTTTCCGATAGATGGCGTTATAACCATCCCGTTTACTCCAGATTTTAAAAAAGGTACTCAGACCGGGGGAGTAGCTTAAAAGTGCTGGTAATCCGATTGTTAGGCGTGTCGATTCAGGCTTATCTTCGCTATAACGGGAGAGCCTCATTGGACTTTAGCGAGATGGAGAAGTAGAATTTTTTTTTATAAAAAGTATTCTAAATCCTATTCAACAACATAATTAACTTCTACACTAAATTTCATTAGAACCCGTCAAACTATTTAAGCGTGATTAAAGAACATCCAAACACATTTATAACATGAGTAAGGTTGTAGGTACAATTATAAAGATTTTAGATGGATAAGCGGAGAATCAAAATAATATAAAAAGTAAAATAAAAAATAAAAAGGAAAATGAGCGTTGTTCGTAGCGTAGGTTTTTTTTTATAGGATAAGGGTGACAAACGAGCACACAGTCCACCTGATGGTAAGTGGTTGCCGTGGCCCATAGACACCTACAACTATCCTCGATTACGAATCAAAATGCAGATGCGTTGTCACCCGTGAGGACTAAGATGGAATGCCTCTTTTCCAGTAAAACGGGTCTCCGATTCTCTACACTCACCATACGAAACACAGCAGCATTTAGCTGCTATTTTACGCTGGTATTCTGTGAGAGCGTGGTCCTTCCCCGGTCGAGCCGACCCATTCGTGTTACAACTATACTACCAATACAGCTGCAACATGGCTCTACCACGTAAAAAATGTTGCTTGTTTTGATTTTAAATTTAACACAAAAAAAACAACTTATAAACAAATGAAATTAAAACATAAGTATTTCTAATTAACAATAAACAAATTAAAGGAAAATAGTCTTTTACAAAGTTATACAGTATGAAAAGCTTAACTTAAGTCAAAAATACTAGCTAAGTCACCGCCGCGCCGTCTGTTGGTATATGCCCAGAAGACTGGCTGAGTTGAATATTCTTAATATTATAATAAAATTATATAATAAAAATAGCCGTTAACTCATACCGAAGTTAAAGATTATTACTATCATACAATCGTCACGCTAGACAGTTTTAGTCTCCTCCCAAAACTCTTATAATATTTGCCATAGTTGGATTATGTAACAATCGCAAATTTTATATTATTATTTATTAAGTTTATTGTGCTGCTGCTCGTATCCTGTATTATGCTTCTCGTCCACTATAAATTTTAACGTAACTTAATAGTATACACATAAAAAAAGAAACCAATTTATTATAGTAAACGGCCTAAAGACTTCATGAAAGTGTAACCGAAATCATGAAATAATATAATAAAATACTACGTGAACACTAGTACAAGAAATAGTCACTAAAGAATCTATACGTGAAAAAAATAGTTTCCACACCACGTTTCTTTGTCTATGCACTATGGTTTTACGGAAATATTAAAAGGATTTTCCATCAACCTTAAAATACCTTTAAACTCTGAATGACCGGTACACTATTTTAACTTACAATACCGGTAAAAACTACCAGACAATCGCATTGTGTTTGTATGTGGGTTATTGTTATATTCATATTTTAATTGTTAATTCTGAGTACCATTAGATGGGTTAAAACTAATATTACTATTGTAATCTTTAAATTATACGCAATAAATGAACATGCATTTCGTTAAGTTACGCCACAATTTGCGGTGGGCCCATTCTACATACATAAATGAATTGTTTCGCTTTTTTGAGATATCCTATAGTCACTTCTTACGGCAATCACTGGATAATATGGGAAAATGGAAATTCTTACACTGCTTCTACATATTAATAAGGATTTGGCGACCTACAAATATTAAAAGTATCCGTGCTGCACTGATAAACCTGTCTGGTAAGCATGTGTCAATTTCTTTAAGGTACAACGCAGCCGAAGCTTTATTAGGACTTGTAAAGTAGGAGAAGTAGCAAATAAAAAAACCACTGCATTGAGACCCACAACATAAGTCTACCTAGATTTCTTTCATGACAAACTGGTGTTGTGACTGAAGCATAAATGGTACTTAATAATATATTAAACAATTGACAAGCATCCTGCCTACTGGCGGTACTATTAAAAAACCATATTACTCACCTTTCCCACTGTCCACTTTTAAAGCCCATCATTATATTTCAGGCGCCAGAGAATTTTACTAAACTTAATGTGGATGTATTGGGCGAATCTTTTCCTCAAAGGAAAGAATCCCAAGAAAACGTTAAGAAAATCAACAAAAAACGTAAGTGTTATATAGAAGTAATTATTAGCACGAATAATGTAATAAAATAATTCAATTCCAAAAAGATTGTATATATATTACCATTAACATCTCAACAAAGAGATATCCACACTCGTACACGCATGCATGCCTTTGGTAACCATTAACCCTTTGACACAATATATAAAAAAATTAAAAGATATAATTTATATTGATCAGTTATGACTTATTACACAAATCCTATACAGTTTCCACACAATTAATAGATTAAAGCTTTAAATTTTTCGTTATATAAATATTTAGGTAAAATATTTATTTCTCATTTTTGCATATTTTCTAAAATACCAGAGTCACTTATTCATCACGCACTTTTAGGTAAATTAATGTCCAGCAGTTGATTAAATCTGCTGACTCCAATTTAAAACCAAACCTCTCTATTGTAATTTTGGTAGATTTTGTCACATTTACTGTAAAATATCATTAATTCCAAGTTGATGTACACTTTCTTTTATGTTTTAATATATTTTGGCATGTATAGTGTACTAGCGAAAAAAAAACAATTATTGAATTTTTCCGTCAAGAAATTCTCAATAGCTGCCCGGAGTCAGTTAGTTGGCGGTGTCTCACCCCCGTACCTCAGAAAGCAAGTAAAGCCGTTGCTCCTGCGCCTGATCTCTTTCCGGTCGTGATGTTTTACCGCCGTATCGGATTATGAGAGTGAGGCAGTAGAGAGTGCACCAGTGCTTGCGCATACACTTGGGCACTACAATCCTGTCCTGCGCCAATTGCTAGTCTCAGTTGAGCCTGGCCGCCGTGACTGAAATTCGTTCTAGAGGACATTATTATTATTACTGTACTAGCGATTTGCCCCGGCCTCGCTCGGTTGATATCTGGATTCTACAACAGCGCCACCTACCGGGTCCAACTATGTCTATAACCTTGGCGCAAATGCAAGCAATATGTTGACAAAGTTTTACCGCAATCTGAAGAACGTTATGGCAGCGCATAAAATTTGAAGAAACAAAAATAAATTTTTATATACAGTGCAACCTCGATATAACAAATCGGAAGGGAACAAGTAAATGTTCGTTATATCAAGTAATTCCTTGAACTGAGGTTTTTATGTTGAGGTTAGGTTGATCTAAAATTTGTTATAGACAGGTAAAAAAATAGTTTTATTCACAACTTCTTCTAATAAACTTTATATAAAGGTTTTGGGTTGACAAAATTAGTTAATTAGTGGTATTTACACTTTCTTGATAGTTGTAAATTTGTTATAAAGAGGTTGTTCGCAAAAAACGTTCGCAATGTAAAGATATATTTTATATTGAATCTTATGGCCAATTCAAGGGGATCACGAAAAATTTGTTAAATCGAGGAAGTCGTTATATTGAGGTACGTTATATTAAGGTTGCAATGTATTAGACTAACTAGATACCCTATCGCTTCGCTGGACGCACGATAATATTTTATTGCGAAACCTAGATGTAAAATGTCAAGAATTTTTTTTTAGTGGAACTATCGTAAAATCCGTTCTTAGTGATCGTTTGCATTGCGGAATGAGTAACTATACTAAATTCGAAGTCAACCGGGTGTACAGTTTTAGAGATCTCGTGATGAGTCAGTCATACAGTGGTATTACGCTAAAAAAAAAAAAATATATATATAAAAAAAAATATATATATATATATATATATCGCAGCCAAATCAACAGCCTAGTCTCATGAATAAACAGAGCCGTTCAACTAGCGGCCTGAATGATACTCAACCATTTGATCAAACAGCTAGGCAAATGACTTGTATCGATGACGTTTCATTACTTGCCTAGCCTGCTCATTTTAATTCAGTTCCACTTTCTGCCACCTAGCGTTCAAACTCTCCAAACTTTCAATATGGCATCGGCAAACGACAAATGTGATGGTGTTTTCCAAAGTTTAAAAATAGTACAATACGCCGCAGCGAACTAGCTTAATTAACCGTTCAATCAACAGCTTACTCTTTTTATGTTTAACTAGGGGCCTAAATGATATTCAGCCGCTGCGTCTAATACAACACTACAACTGTCTTGTTATATCAGCGACAGCCGATACCAGCCGCACCCTAGCCTACTGTTGAACGGCGCTGTTTCACCCTCTCGTATGAATGGCCTAAGCATTAGTCAGCCAGTTTGTTAAATGTTGTAACAAACGCTACGGCTGTATATCACTTGGGCAGCTAGTTTAACGGCGCCGTTTAGTTAAAAGGCTAGGCTGTTCACTGAAAGGCTGATTAAGGTAGTTGGCTGCGACATATATATGACGGAAGCAATGAATAGAATCAGGCATTACTTTGCGGAAGTCCATTATATTAAAGGTGGTAGAAATTTATTAGTAAAGACGCGTGTAACAGATCTTACCTATTTAATTTTTAACATCTTTAATAATAGAAATGATGATCTAATTAGTATATATCTACATAGGTAAACACGAGGTTCTCACTTGTCCGAACCTACTCGGTCTGATACAATATCAGAAGCAAAAGGACAAGGGAATACAGATCCTAACTGACAAGTTCAACCCATAAAATTAGATGCAGATGCATTGTCACCTCACCGAAATGGAATGCTTTTTGCTGGACTGGATTTCGTTAGCAGTTCGTATGGCGAGTGACTACACTCACCATACGAACTACTAACGAGTTCCTTGTGTTGCGATTTTGCGTTGGTATTCCTTAGGAGCGTTTCTCTTTGCCTCCAACCCATTCCTGCTGCAACACTTAAGTGAGTTATATCCTTGTCGACCAGCAAAATTGTAAGTCGCAATCTTAAGTGTTGATTCACCATGAGTTCAGCTGTAAACGAATATCGAGGAAAATCTGCAAATTATAGAATAAAAAATATATTCTACTTAACTTTATTTTTCAGCAAACAAAATAAACCTGCCAACGTCTTAATGCAGTACGTGCAATGGAGGGATGATTTGAAACAATTTACGCTACACTTGAAGAAATTGTTTGCGATTTTGTTATTTGTTAGGTTTCCATACGTATTTATATAGTAATTTAAGTTTCAATTATAAACATAGGAAACAATTTATTTGGTATTATTTATTGACCCAGACACCATCGGTATTTTCCTTGTCTTAACTATTTTTTACATATAGAGAAATAGATAGAAATAAAGAAAGAACTTTTGATGAATCGGCTGCAACAAGCGAATACTATATCAGCGATATTCAATCGCTCAAAGCCTCTAATTATATGTACGGGCTCTCTTACCCTACCAACTTATACATAGTAGTACATATAGCTTGGCAACAGAAATATGTGAGTGAGTAGTTGGTATAAAAATGGACTCCTGGGTAAGAAGGGAACTCTACCGCTTGAAAGTGAGATATTTTTTAAGAGTAAGAATGACAAACGAGCACACAGTCCACCTGAGGGTAAGTGGATGCTGTGGCCTATAGACATCTACGACTACATCTATTCTCTCAAAATGCAGGTGCGTTGTTACCCCTGCGGACTAAAGTGGAATGCCGTTTCCAGTAAAAAGTGTCTGCGGTTATCTTTACTCACCATGCGAAACTTAGCAGAATTGAGCTGCTATTTCACGCTGGTATTCTGTGAGAGCGTGGACCTTCCCCGGTGGAGCCGACCTATTCGTGCTATTATAACTATAATATATATGCAGGAAGATACATACTCTTTACTAGCTTAATAATAATAATAAATAAATAAATGATTTTTTTTAAATTTTTAAACCAAATATCTGCACCTGGCTTACGAGGTGACCGACATGTAGGGTGGTCTGCCGACTGAAATAATTCTGTAGTCGTTTCTGCAAACGAGCTAATCACAGTGAGCTTCTCGGGTCGTCTGAGGCGGCTGTGACTCCATGACGGACCGCTCAGGGCTCAAATGGAGAAGGCAGTGCTTCTCCATACCGCCCGCATCGTCCGCCGATTTCTTTCCCTTTCCCCCTAACCCGCGGCCGTTTGGTCTGCCATGCCGAGGCCATCCATCTGGTTGGGCTTTTATTTACTTATGTATTATTTATTTATGTTAGTATATTAAATATATTTTATGTATAGTTATCATTTCCTTTTATATATTTATTCAGCCCATCCAGATGAGAATACTCTATTAATACCCCGGATTAATAAATGCTTTATTTCTTAAAGTTACAAACAAACAAAGTAGTATAGATTGGTCCGCCAGTAAGTTTAAAAAAGAAAACCTGTGTCAAGAATCCAAGTCGTTTAAGTTTATACGTTTTAAAATAAATATCTCCATAATCAAAATCACAGTTAGCAAAGGTTTAAGAAGTCAATGTTCTGTTTATAACAGAAATAAAGCCTCCATATCAACACCATAATCTCTGCAGGTTGGCGAGTTGCCAGTAGCAGTTGAGCCGCGCCAACATACACATGTGTTGATTGCTAAGTGCAAAACTTATGTAACTAACACGTGTTTTGGACCGTTAATTACTGAAATGCCATTTTATCACAAAAATTGTCAGATATTTCAAGTACTAATGGTGGTTATTAATGACATTTTATTCAGTATAAAAGAAAGCCATGTTTAGATGTTCATTGAAGTACTTGAGTCAATTTCTCTTTTGGATTTCTTTCGTAAGTACATTAAATTATTTTATATTAAGTTAATAATACCTAGGTGTTATTTATTTAAACACATTTTTTTTATCTATGCCACAATTTGTCAAATAGGCACACACTTTTCTTTATATTTATTTTCTTAATATAATGATATGTAACACAAATCATAATTCCAAATCATATCAAATAACAAGGGCAAATCAATCTAAATAAATGAAGTAGATTCTTCTCATTCATAATGAGTCTTTAGGATCAAATGCTGGATGAAATCTTTCCAAGAAACGTCGGCCAAACGACGCATTTTTAAAATGTTGTAAAAGAAGACGCCGTGTGATGACGGGCCTCATTTCCTCCCGACATTCTCGGAAGCGCACTTGGAAGGTACGAGTATATAGAAAATATCAAAAAGATCTTATCCCGTATCCCACGTATGCCAGTATAACCATCTCGTTTATGCCAAACATAAAATACAACCGGCGACGAGCATGAAGTCAAACCTACCAAGCGTGACAGTCAAGGCTAATATAAGCCTTTCCCGTTGCATTAAACGTAAAAGGCTAATATAGAGTTCTTTACATGGTAGAGCAACGCTACAGCTATATTATAGTTGTAGCACGAATGGGTCGGTTCGAACGGGGAAAGACTACGCTCTCACAGAATACCAGCGTAAAATAGCAACTTAATGCTGCTGTGTTTCGTATGGTTAGTGTAGAGAACCGGAGACCCGTTTTACTGGAAACGAGGCATTCCATCGTAGTCCTCAGGGATGACAACGCATTTGCATTTTGATTTTTGAGCCATCTATTACTCTACTTACCGTCAGGTGGACTGTGTGCTCGTTTGGCAGCCAAATTTATAAAAAAATAAAGCTGTGATATATTATAGGCTAATTAAGAAGATAAATCTTTCCGATTGTCGGCAACGATGACGACTCCATAATGGGCAGCCTTAAATGCGCGGAAAATATTAAAGTGCCGCAAATGCACGTGCAAGCAGAGGCACTCTAATCCAAACCTATCCGTACTCTATGTGACTCTCGTAAAATTAGATGATTATCCTACCAGCAGTGGTATTGGATATGCTTAGCGTGGGTTTGGAGGGTTTTACCCGCCTTCTGTAAATCTTTAATGGGTAATTATCCAGAAGTAGGCTTCTGAGTGCTATCGGGAAAGGACAGATCCTACACAGCGATTATTTCCTCAAGGTGCCTGAAGTTGTGCCTCCGGAATCGAGGCTGCTTTGGATGCAGGCTTCAAACGCATAGTATCACGATACATCCTGATTGCAATGCGAGAGCGCTGGGGGCAGAAAGTACCGCCCCGGGACGTGATTCAAGCGAATTAGAGCGGTGAAGGGTTATGTTTTGAATGGAGGTCACGGTTTCCCTCATCTACGCTGATGGTGACCACCGTGGGGTTTTATCGCGTAGAAGTCTGGCATAGCCTTTTTGTTACCTCCATAAAGGAAGATATCCATCTCCCTACGATGGCAGGCTGGGGAGCAGTGTCAGAGTTAAATGTGTGTATAGATATATATAAAAAAAAAAAAGTATATATATGTATACAACATAACAAAAAATACGAAATAAAAAATATATAAAATGATAGCTTCGTCTAGCATTTTACCTCTATTCATTTATTTAAAAAAAAGTGAGATTATAGATCTCTAACGTTTGATATTTTACCGTTATAACTAAGTGGTGTTGTCGTCGACGGCGAAACGAAAGTACGAGTGAACTACCACTTTCTTCTTTAATACGCGTAAGTAAGTATGTATGCGGCAGCCAATTGACACATTTACGATAAGATGTCAATTTAATATGCAGTCTTAAATATTTATATAGAATCGAGTCAAAAAAAAATTAAATGAAACCCTTTTAAGTAAGAAAGTATGTAAAGAGAAACTGAAATGAAATCTCATTTCTATCTTAACTTCTTTACGACTGACTTGAATTGAACTAAACAAGGACGTATGGAAACAAAATTATTTATCCACGCGTACAATGAAATAAGTTTTAATACAAACCTTATATATAAAAATAAATTGCTATCCGTTTTTTTTTAAAACGTTACCCCTACAC